TGAGACAGCAGCCACAGAGGGCAGAGAGCACAGAGGGGACAGCTGGCAGGGAGGAGATGGGGCAGCAGGGCTGAGGGCCATTGAGGTTTGCCCAGTGCAGGGATGGGAAGAACAGGCCAAGCAAGAGAAGCTGGATTCACCAGAGCCCTAAGAGGAAAAGCACACCCAGGAGGAGAGACTGTTGCATGGTCAGGAAGACGAGCTGTACTGAGCGTGCTATTTCCTGTGTTCCTGGAAGCTTTAACAACTCAGAAGCCTTGCTGGCCAGGTGGGACCACCCACCCAGGGTAACTAACTCCCTCTCCATGTTGTCACTCAGTCACCTCCATAAAAATAAATCCAGATACAGTCAAAACATGGGTCATCAGCCCTTACTTTGACAGGGACTGTTCTGTCACAGAGAGGTCCGTTTTTCTTGCCGGGTGGGAAGAGTACACGGCTCTGTCTTTAGAGAATACCTTGCAGTTCCACAAACTTGGTTCTCTAACTTGTCCTCTCAGTGATGTGTTGCCCTAGGAGCCAACTTTTATTCCTGATGAAAGGAAGCAGAGTCCTCACCAGGCGTGGCCCCGCCAGGCCCTCTTGCTGCTCCGCACTCAGCCCGGCAGTTCCCTCTCTCTGCTCCAGCTAATTGTCATCCTTAGCAGCTGCAAACAAAGAATGTGCTGCTTATGGTTCTACACAGTAGAGGTCTAAAATCAGGGTCAGTGTAGCATTGCGTCTGTCCAGAGACTTGAGGCAAGAATGTGCGAGTCTGTCCTTCCCTGCCTGGCTTTGGTGTTGGCCTCACCACTGGGCCCTTCCTCCATCTACCAGCCACCAGCCTTCCTCTTTCTTACAAGAGCCTTTTATTTATTTATGTTTTCAGTTGCTGGGGATTAAAAGCAGGGTCTTCCCTCTAAACTGCATTCGCAGCCGTGTGTGTGTGTGTGTGTGTGTGTGTGTGTGTGTGTGTGTGTGTTTATTATGGTTTGTGTCTAGTTGTCCTCTCAAAGCCTCATGCAGTCATGGGGCAGCTTCTGGAGTCTGTGATTGATTCTAGATGAATGCTGGGATTATGGGTGTGAGTGCCCTGGGCAGATACTCTGCATTACTATGTGAGGTGGAGAGAGGGGCCCGCTAGCTGCTGGAGCTGCTGCTGCTCCCTTTGCTGTCTTGCTCTTTGCAGCTGCCATTGATCGCTGCACTGGTGCCTTGTACCACTCTGCCTTGGAGCCAGCAGAGTACATTCTGAAACTTCCACTAACTGTGAGCCAAATAAACCTTTCCTTCCTTAATTTTGGATATTGAGTATTTTGTCCCAGCAACAAGAGAAGGGTAACTGAGACAATGTTTTATTTTTTAACTTTATTTTAAGAGAAGGCATAAGTTGCCCAGGGTGAACCTGAACTTTCAGTCCTCCCTCAGTGTTCCAGAGTGCTGGGTAAGAATGTTTTCTGATGACATTTGGTTCACCCTAAGACCCAGGATTATCTTCCCAGCTCATGGTCCTTAATTTAGTCCCCCCCCCACAGCAGGGTCACCTGGTCCATCTAAAATGCTAAGTCCACAGGTCCTGGGGGTTAGGATATTGGCCCCCTCAGGAAGCAACTGATCTGCCTGCCACACTCACCACACTGAGACCCATGGCTGACTACTGGTGGAGCCTAGAATGGAATTCAAGGCTTTGGACCCTGAGCCACATCTGGGTGCTGACTGTGCTAGCCCTGTCCCCACATGGGAGTGGCTGTCCAGGAAAAGGCCACCTCTCATCTGCCAACACAGCTGGAGGAGTTAAAGGATGTCACAGCAGACCCTGTGTCCTCCAGCCCTGCTGATGACTCACCAAAGAAGTGGGGCAATGCATTTAGCTCAGTTGGCCTTAGTTGCTGTCTTCAAAGAGGATTAAAACCTTTCTTCCCAAGGTACATGGGGATTTAACATTGATAGAAAATACCATGTTCTATTCAGAGGGAAAAGTCCTAAAGAAATAAGGTAATCACATAATTGCCTTTATTTAATCACTCTTGAGTGATCAGCCATTCTTTTCAAAAGCTTGTGGAGTCCATTTCTAATGGATTTGCCATGGTGCCAGGCTTACTGGACCACCTTGCTAAGAAAAGGACATCCTCACCAGAGCCAGCAACTACAAGTGTCAACATTTTGATTTAAATATCCGCAATTGCAGTCTCAGGCCTGGCCCTTCGTGTGACTTGCTGGATGGCCCGAGGAAATCCAGACACACATGGTGGAGTCTGAGTATAAAGGACAGGAAGTGAAGCAGTAGAACATCCTGATCCCTCAGGCCACCTAGCCTCTGCACCCACTTCTGCAGTGACTGGATCCCCCACCAAGGCCAGCCATGCATCCTGCCAAGCTTGACTCCTCGCTCCTCCAGGATGTAACACAGATCAGGCCTTAGCAGCCACAGCTTCTGCCTCCCCCGGCCTTGTACCCCCTTTCCTAGCACCCAGATGTCCAGGTGTGTGGACTGTGGAGTCATTTGTGAAGGATTTTACAGTGCTTGAAGTTTGATATCTATTTCTTTTTGTTTCCTGGAATAAGAGGTGGGAAAAGAGAGGAAAGATATGATGCTTTTAAGTGGGCTGTGACTGGAGCTACTGAGATCATAGGTATCCGGTGAAATCACAGATGGAATCAGACCTTCACTTTGTGCGAGGTGACCTGGGCATAGGCAGGTCCAGGGAATGCCACCCTGTAGCATGAAGGCCGTGAGCCTAGAGCTTGGAGCTCATGGCCTTCAGCAAAGCTGTATCTTAGGAGGACATGATCAGAGGATCCTCAAGAGAAGAGTATGTTTCAGGGTGCATTGAGATAGCAGATGTCTCCAAACTCAGAGGTTTTTCTACCTCTTTGGCTTAACTAGAGAGATGTTGGGAAGGAAAAACTGTCAGGTTGGGTTCAGCCAGGTAATGCACAATGTGATGAGTCTGCGCCCGAGCCCAAGTCTGCTGGGTCCTCCCGGCTGTGAGCCAGCAGGGCGTGGGGATCCTAAGCCCAGGACAGCCACTCCTAGACTGACTTTTGCCTTTTTCTTCCCCCACCCCAACCTCAGCTTTCTCTTTTGTTTTCTGTGGGCACTACGCCTTCCCCAATCAGTGCCCGTTATGGCACCCCATGGCCCTTACAAGCTCCACCCCCAACTCCGCTCTGTAAATTCTTTGTCTCCTTGCCTCCTCCCCAAGGGTGCTTGCAGTCTCTTCTGAAGCCCTCCTGGACCAAACAATAAAGGTTTTCTTTCCTTTTCTTCCTCTTCTCTGTCACGCCAGAGGAAGAAGCCTTACAGGAGGTCTTCACTTCTTAAGCTCCTGGTGCCGACTTCAACACCCCAGTGCATTTTGCTGTGTAAGGTCACATGCTCATAGGTTTTGAGGATTAGAAAGGGACAGCTCTGGGAAACAGAGATGGCAACAGAGCCAACTTGAGACTTGCTTTCTTGTCTGCCTAAAGCTGTGGTTCCTGGCTCCCAGGCCCCTAAGGTGTCCTTGGCCTGATCTTCACAGCCTCTGGGAACATTTTCTAAACGTGGTGGAGAGGACCCCGAGTAAGGGCATGGATGCGTTTTCTTGGATGCCAGATTCCCAAACAGCTGATTCCTACACAGCTGGGAAGCCCATGTGTGGACTCTCCTGTCCCTTCCAGCACAGATGGTGCCTAGTTGACACAGAGAAAATGACCCGCTGTGGCTGTAGCTGCAGAGCAGCACCCGGCTGGGGACTCTTCCTCTGGCTCCTCAGTCCATTTTCTGCCACCTCTAAGCTCTGTGTTCCTGACTCCATGACAGTGTGTGCTCTTCTTCACCGCTGCTGGGGGACTCTGCTGATACCACTCCTAAGGAGGTGCTTGGGAGCCTCCAGGGAAGAGCACATGGCCTGACCTGTGAGCACCCAGGGTGTGTCCTTCCCTCACCATGCAAGCACAGTCAGCCCCCACATTGCTGTCTTCCCTTCAGCTGTCACAATGGCATTGGCATCAAGAGCACCAGTGCATGCTGCAGTGCACCACGCTTTGTGTGGCCACAGAAACCAATGTCAAGAATGGATGGGGTCTTTGAGTAAACCTTAGAGCCGATGTGAACAGTAAACAGTCTCTGTGCCAGCGTCCCCGCAGTGCAAGCCAGCTGCAGGTGGTTGTGGAAAAATTGAGAGCCAAGACACGCATCGGCTCTGTGGGAGATACAGTTATATCAATAAGGGGAGTTAAGGTTAAGCTGTATTTATTTTAGGGTGGCTTTTAATTTAGTTTAATCAGAATTACTCATAAATTATGGATTAATTACTATCTGGTGCTCAGTTAAATCCCCTCAGCTGTGGAGCCAGCTCCTCTCTGCAGTGAATGCCGTCCACTGTGATTGTAAGGCACTTTGTCAACATTTAATCAGCGGTACTTATTAATATGGCATTGATGTGTCGTCGCCGTTCCTACAGCATCAATCACACATGAACAGCCAGCCCGGACTTGGACCCCATTGCTCTTTGTCACATTAGCCAGCCCCTGGGCTGCCAGGCTAGGCATGATGCTCACTTGTCACAAAACAGACACTGTCTCTCCTGCCCAAACCACTCTTTGTCTTGCTTGCCTTGACTTTCAACATGGCCTTTGGAACATTGGTCTGGGAGGGTTTCCTAGACATTACCTATTCTCAGAGTCCAGAGGACTTCCTCTGTGCTTTCACACCTAGCCCCATGGGTGGCAAGTTCTAGGAGGGTTTGTCCACTGTGGGACATGTACATATGTGTGCATGTGTGTGCGAGACAATTTCATGTAATTATGTGATGCTGGGTATGAAATCCAAGACCTCACACATGCTAAGTAAATGCTCTACCAATGAGCTGTGCCTCCAGCCCTTTAAATTCTTAAGTATAGTAAAACAAGTGATCTTTGAAAGGTGTTCTTCAGGTTATCGACTGTTTCTTGAGGTTGACATATTGCTTGCAGTTCTACCAGTAGAAATTTGGGGTGGGAAAAGAGATCTCATGATTTCCTCTTTCTCTTTTCAGCCTCTACGGCAGACACATGCAAGCAAATCCAGAACCCCCAAAGAAGAATAATGACAAATCGAAAAAGATCAGCCGAAAACCTCTGGCAGCCAAAAACAAATGAGGGGCTGGCAGGCGCAGGGCTTCTGGACTCTTCAGCTAACTCTTCTGACCTCTCTTGCTCCTTCTCGCAAATAAATATAGTGCTTGTGTGGCTTTTAAAAAACATTTCTTTCCACTCTCCCTGTCTAGCTCTTACCAGCTTACCTTTTAAATTCTTTTGGTAGGTGGTAGATTTTTATATGGTGTTAAAACCATTTCCATTTGTTTCCTGGAAATTGCCAAGGGCACAAAGCAGAGCTCTAATTCAACTGCAAATTCCATGGTAGGCACAGGTTTCAATGCTTTGAATAGACACCACAAGCCTGCTTATTATCAAAAGAATAATTAAAATCATGTAACCACTTAAATGTCACAGTTAACACTTTTCATTCTTTTGTTTATTCACACAACTCATTATTTTGCCTTATTAAAAAGTCTTCCTTCACTGCTGAGCTGTAATGTTCACTTAGCTTACAAATGCTTTTAATAAAATCTTGAATTTGTATCACACGACGCTTTCTGACTGGAAAAAAAGAATAATCTGATTTTAGGGTGTACACATTTTTGTTTACTGTTTCTAACCCCCAAAAATATTACCTTCTCCAGTTTTACTGCTTGCAGATGATAAACTTCCCATGAAGCAGATTCAAAATTAAGTCAGAGTTAGTTTCTTCTCACATCAATTTGTCAGGGGTTTATGTATTTTTTTCTTTCTTTGAAGACTGTTTCTAAAATTAGGAAGCTACAGAAAAACAAATCTCTGGGAGATTCTGCCAAAGGATTTTGGAAAGCAGCATTCCTTCGCTGAAGAAGTGGTGACTTCTGCCAGCGGCTGGTAGACAAGAGCTGTGAAACGGAGGGAGGAAGCCTCAAATACGTGTTTTCATCCCTGCAGAAAATCTGCTCACACTAAAGCCTTCTTCTGGGAGACTTCGGTGCCAGTGGAGTTGTATCACCCTGCACTGTCTACACCGTGGCCCGTGAGGAACCTGCCGCGGCCGAGTCCTTAAACAACTAATCATTTCACATCTGTGATAGGCAGCTTTCCTTCTTATCAGGATTCGCATTATGGGAATGAAAATAAATCCAAACAGATGCTTTGTGTTGAGAGGGCTACGGACACCTCATAGCTTCCCAGTAAGAGGTGTGCCCAGATGAAGAGGAGTTGGACTGCTGGACAGGACCTACCTGTCTCTCCTAGAGGTTCTGGCAGTTCTCACCTAAGCTCCTTGTAGGAGGCCACTGGCACCCTCAAAAGCCAAAGCAAAACAAGCCCAGAACCATTAGCATGTGTACTTTCCATTTCAATGGGTCTGAATAGCTTCTATCAGTTTCCAAGAAATTATCCTTGGGAAGAGATTCCCTTGGGGGCTGTCTGTTTGACAATAGAGTAGATACCATTTTCAGAGTCATAATACTGTATTTGCCTCCACCTAAATTTTTTGGGTTTTTTTTTTAGCGGAACCAGGGATTGAACTCAGGTCTTTGTGCTTGCCAAGCCAGTCCACCTAAATTTTTTAAATTCATCAAAGAACTTATGAAATTGCAGGAGGAGCAATGGCTTTATTGTGGTTGATTGGAAAGATTTAACTATGATTAGCAGTAAAGCACTAATAAAATCAATGACATCAAGGCTTATTAAATAAATTTTTCCTAGGGCTGGCCTGATAGCTCAGTGGACTAAAGTGCCTGCTTAGGTGGAGCACGGTGACGGGGCATAATCCCCAGTGAGCTGTGCTGGCCCCACCTGTGGTGCATGCTGAGATGGTGATGGAGACTGGGCGTGGTGGCGCATGCCTGTAATCCCAGCACTTGGGAGGCTGAAAACAGGAGAATCACTGAGTCCAATCTACACAGTGAGACCCTGTAGACTCTGTACTAAATACATAAAAAATAATTTTTTTCCTGTAGCATTCCTGGTAGAAATACAGGCAGTGCATATATACTCACAAGGAAGAGGTATCTCAAGAAACAAAAGAGAAAGGAGGGGCCAACACTCACTACTAAGCGAAAACATGCAATTCACGGTGAGTATGAGCAATGTGTACCAATGAAAAATGTGCAGATTTTTTTAAGGCAGTATTAAGTGTTACAGAAGCAGTGTGATATAAAGGCCCTTGAACATTGCTGCTGGGAATATTAAGTTTCTTGCAAGGTGGTCGCAGTTTGACAGTATGGAGCCAAACCTTAAAAGTGTGTACTTGGATCCAGGATTCATATTGCTAGGATGTTTCCTAATACACAAAGCCCTGTGTAAGACTTGTCTTAAGAGCATTATGTACAAAGTGAAAATGTGGGGGAAAGCTGGATGCCCCCAGTTAAGTAGGAATAAAGATTTTAAACACTACCATCATGATGGCCCAGTTATGTAAAAAGGAAATTGTATTTAAAATATGTAAACATAAATGTATCAAATGGAAATGAAAGAATTTTAAGCCTGATTATGTCTTCATGGTAAACTAAAATTTTTTTCATTGTCCTTTTATACTTATTCTGTGCTTTAAATTTTCTGTAATCATGTCCACTTTTGTAATCAGAAACATGAGATACATGTTTTTAAATGAGATTAGCACGTTGTATACTATGTAACTCAGAAAATAAGATCATATACTTAAATTCAAAGCATAATATAAAATATTCAGTTGGCCTTTTTTCTTTTGTTATTAAAATAGGTTTTTCACATCTTTTTCTGCGGTGTTTTCTTGTTACTTTCTCTCTAGATGAACAAAAACTGCATAGCTCAGAAGGAAAGCTTTTGATAAGCATATCATGTGACCATCCCAGGACACGTACTGAAATCTTGTGCTGGCCACTGGCACCGTGCTGTCACTCAAGGGACCTGCACCTGTCAGCTTCCTACCCCTGTGACAAAATAGCCAGGGTTCATTCAAAGGAGTTTATTTCAGCTCAAGAAGTGCAGGTTTTAGTCCATAGTTGCTTGGCCCTGTGGCTTTGGGCCTGTGGTGGCACCAAGCCATGATGGGACCCCATATCAGAACTGGGATTACAGGTGCAAAGGTAATTTTCTAACAGAGCTTCATAATGTTGCATATGTACCCGGTAGAAAATCCTCGAAGCGCCACCTTCAGAATAGAATCAGAGCTAAAGATCTTCGCTGTCTCCTTCTACCCTGATCAAAGTCACCCTCATTTCTCACCTGGATTATAGAAGTGTCCTCCAGGATGCCACCCACTTTCACTGGCCTATTAGTCTGCTTCACAGAGCCTGTAAAGCTGGCATCTAATCAGGGCCCCTTTCTGCTCAAGATCTTCACCAACCCCTTGTCTGCTTCCTCGGTGTGAAAGCCCTGGTCACCACAGCCTAGAACCCTGCAGGCCGTGGTCTTCTTTCCCCTGCCTCTTCCTGCTTTTCTGCATGCTTTCTCTGCACCAACCACATGGGCCTCCAGGCTCTTCCCATTTCGAGGCTTTTGTGCATGTGGTCCTTCTAGAATGTTTTCCCAAATACAACTCACCCACCAGCTTCGAATCTTCGTTAAGAAGATTTTAACGAACTCTTTAATATATTTCTCAATACACTGATCTAATTATAAATTGCAGTTTACTTTGCTTACTCCCTATCTCGAGCCCAGGAGCCAGATACCATCACCACTAGAGTGTAGGCTGCATGAGGAAAAGAATCTGCAGACAGACAAGCCCACAGCCAGACATAGTCCAGACCTGTTTTTGTAAATAGCCTTCTTGGTGCGCAGCCATAACCTTTCATCTGCATGTCGTGGATGGCTGCTGTCGTGCTGTTGCCGCAGAGCTAACTGGCCGTGGCAGAGACTACATGGTTCACAAAGCCCAGAAGATTTACTATCTGGCTCTTTACAGAAAACCACTATTAATTATTCTGTTGCTATTGTATATACCAACACCTAGCATGTTTCCTGGTCTACAATAAGGGCTAAATGTTTGTCTAATTAAATATTGTTAACTGGATAATATAACATTAAGGAAAAAATACATATCCCTGTAAGATTTTCTGCTTCATAACTGAGTCCACTTTGCCAAAATCAACTTCCTCTAAAAGAAAAATCTCTTAAATATTATTAAAGATAGAAGTTTATTTAACCCTGTGAGGTTTAAATAAACTTTAAGCCAGTGTAAGTTTCTCTTATAATAACCTAGTTTCTGTATGTTGGTTCTTTAAAATTTTCCCCAGTCAACAATTTACTTTTTGAGGCCAGCCAGATAGCTCTGCAGATTAAAGCTCCTGCTTAGGCAGGTGCAGAGACCAGGGTTCCATCCCCAGCATTCCTTGCTGGCCCTCTCCCCAGGGCACGCTGAGACAGCTATTAAGACTGGGCATGGTGGCACATGCCTGTAATCCTAGGGCTTGGGAGGCTGAAGACAGGACGATCATTATGAGTCTGATCTGTATAGTGAGACCATGTAAACCCCGTACTAAATACATTAAAAAAATTCTTTTGGGGGGGGGCTAAATATTTTATTTTTAATTTTTAAAAAGAATTTTAATAAGTAAAGAATTTGAAAGGGTACAAAATTTTACTAAATAAAATTATAGGAATTCAACAATGGTGGTTGTATTACATATTGTCCTCTTCAAATTAATTGCTCAGATTATCAGATATAAACACGCAAAACTGGTCAAAAATTTAAAAAATTAAAAAGGAAAGAAAAAAGTTAAGCATTAACTGCTCCTTTCAGTAGACCAGCAGAAATCAGCAGTACAATTATCCAAACTCTCCTGTGTGTGTATATATATATATATATATATATATATATATATATATATATTTCTTTTCCCCTGCTTTTCTCCTTTCCCTCATCCCAGTTGTTCCTTCTCTTATAGTTTCTTTCCCCTTATAGTATCCATTGAACCTTTCAGGTTTTATTTACTTTTTGATATTCTTACACTAGGAAGATAATACGATGTTCACACATGCAGGTCCAATTTATTCTGCATGTAAGTATGGTCTCTAGTTGTATCCATTTACCTATAGAAGCTTTGAGTTTATCTTTTTTATAGCTGAGTAATGCTACATTGTGTTAAACAAAACAAAACCCAATAAAACCCTCATCTTTTTAAGTCCATTCCTCACTTGATGGGCCTTTGGGTTGTTTCCAAGACTTGGCTATGCCAAATTGCATTGCTACAAACACTGGTGCACCTCAGAAAATGAGGGACCTCTGATTTCTAGTGTTTCTGTTCCTAGTGTTCTTGTGGTATGTTTTTGATTCTTCTGAAAAAATACACAGAAGGGGACTAGCTTGGTTGAATGGGACCTCTAACCCTAGTTTGACTACTCTGATTTCTGCAGTAGTACCAGCCTACACTCCCACCAACAGTGGAGAAGGGTTCCTTTTTCCCCACAGCCCCGCCAGCATTTGTTACTGATTGACTGATTGATTGATTGACTTTTGGTGGAACTGGGGATTGAACTCAGGCCCTTGCACTTGCCAGGGAAGAGTTTATTCTACTGAGCCATCTCCCCAACCCCTTGATTTCTTCATGGTAGCCATTTCTTTTTTGAGGTAAGATGAAATCTCAGTGCTGTTTTAGCTTGCATTTCTCAAATG